CCCCCCCCTCTCTGTCTCAGTACTTTCATTGAAGATATTAAAACGTTAAAGCAACAAAACGGACCTCCCCCCGCGCCTCCCCCTTTTTACCTCATTTTATAAGAAAAAAATGATGTAGATGTTAATACAAAGAACTGAGCAAATTGAAATGGTGAAATTAGTCAGGGAAAAATGCCACCATTTTTTGGAGCAGTCCTCCAATCTCTGTGCCCCCCCCATCCAGAAAATCCAGGAAGTAACCTCTCTAGCCATTTCCTGCAGCTCTATGGTACTAGATCATTTTTTTCTTATAAAATAAGGTAAAAAGCGGCACGGGGGGGGGGTCCGTTTTGTTGCTTTAACATTTTAATATCTTCAATGAAAGTACTGAGACAGAGAGAGGGGGGGAATTTAGACAGGGTGTCTTTTGTCTTGCCCCGGTTAGGATTTCTTAAGCAAATCCACTGTGCTTTCAACATGAAGCCAGAAAATGATCGGGACTTTTTTAAAACGCGGCGCGGCAGGAAACGGGAAAAATTGTTATAATGCGTGATTGTCACACTGAATTTGGGACGTCTGGTCACCTTAAGGTGGACAGACAGCTGTTTTGGGGGCCTGAACTGAGTAAGGGGGAGGAACAGCTGGGTCCTGCCCCAAATGCACATAGATGCAGAAGTGCGGAGAAGAGAGCAACGTAGGACTGAGCCCCAGCTATCCAGGAAAAGAAGGAGATGTTAACAAGCCTTTCCCCTGGCTGGGATATAAGGAAGAGGGGTGTGGGAAGCACAGTTGTCAGAGACAACCATTCATGCTCCAGGAGAGTCCCCTCCAGTGGATTCCTTGCCTGGATTTCCTTGCCACTACCCAGGTTGGTCAGGACTCTTTATGTTGGGATTGAAGTGCTAATTGAGGCTCCCTGTGGTGAACTCAGAGGTTTGTATCCCTGCTTTTCGAAATAAAAAGGGGTTTCTCCTCACGAGTAGGCTGTTGAGTGGGGCTCATGAAGGCTGAGCCAGAACAGTTATGTGACTATCTTTCCACTTTTTTATTTGCCTTTTTTGTCTTTCAGTTTATCATAGTGTTCTTGGTGCTGCCATGCTGGTTTCTTTTGAGATCTTTTATTTTTCTTCTTCATTGGTATTGTGCTAGACTAGCCTTTTATAATCTCATTTTTAAAAGTTTCCCAAGCTTCATGGATTGTTTTCCATTTCAGGATTTCCATCCAAACATTCTCTAAATGTGTTGAAATAAAATCTCTTAAAATCCAAGAATTTAATTTGACTTTTTTTGTTTTCCTTGTGCTTGAATTATGTTTAATTCCAATACTGCATGGTCACTCACCTCTCCCAGGATCCCTGTAACTTCAACCCTTTCTATTATTACATCTCTGTTAGTGAAAATTAAGTCCATTATGGCTGACCCTCTAGTTCCCTTCTCTACCTTTTCCTTCTCTACCATTAAATTGGACTATGTAGAAACAAGCCTTCAAAAGTTAGAATTGATTACATCACCAGTGGATTGTTCAAGTTTCCCCTCCATTTGCCAGCTTCCTTGCAAAATTGACAAAGAAACTACAGACATGCAACAGAAAACTCCAATGATACGATTGGGAGGGTTTTACTATCAAAACCTTTTTCTATAAATAGCTAAGCCAACTTTAATCAGGGCCCTTCATTTGGACCTCTTTTCCAAGCGTGAAATTCTCTATTTCTTCAGGAATAAACAACTGAAAATCACCTTCTTTGTTCCAGTGGGATTTATTGGCCAGTCACACCAGGAAAAAAGAACCCAGTTGAGGCTCAGGTCATCAGATGTCCCCAGAGCTCAAATTTCTAAAAGAGTTCAAATTTATAAAAGTAAAATTGTACACTGCTAATCACAAACAATACAGGAATGTTTTTAAAAATGAAAACATCCCTTTTAAATTAGTAAAATATATCTGGTACCAGCTTCTCTGTAAATAATTCCCCAATCAACTACATTGACTAAATTTGTTGGCCTTTTGTAGCACAAGGAAGATGAGATGGCTCCCCTCCTTCTCCTATGGATTCTTTCTCCAAAGGAATTTGATTTGTTGGATCCTTGTTGGCACCCCATACCTGCCATGGCTGCAGCCTGGGAGCTTCCACTGTCCCTTGGACCTTCTTCCTTCTCCCCCAGGATCTGGATGAATATGCAGCCTTCAAAGCCTGGGCCAGAGTCATAAAGATAACATAAACAGAGTCACTATTTTCAATCCAGATGCTGCCCCTTTTCTTTTGGGTTTCCACTGGAGCTTTTTGGCTGCATCTTTTCCGGGCTTTGACAGAAAAGATATGCTTTGAGAAAGAACAGTGAAAAGACTGTTCCACAAACTGTGGATCTAGAGAGAAATAGGGTTCAAAACCATCATAATTTGGCCTTAAGTTTTTCAGAAAATCAAAGCTCCAAATACTATGGATATATGTGAGATATTCTTGATGAGCCATTATATATTTTCCCAAAGTTGTGGTGATCCAGACTTTCCCTTCAATGGGTCCTGACAAATCTTTAAGTGTTAAATGGAAAGTACGAAATGTGCTCGAAACAACAATATATTCTGTGAAGTGAACAAAGACATTGACTTGTTTCCATTTAGAGCTGGGTCCCCCCATGGGTGCTTGATGAAGAGTCATTGGAATTTGTTGTGATATAACAACACAAATTCCATTCCTGACAAGCACAGAAGGAAAAGTCCTCAGGAAATTCTCTCCCTTTTCTGATTCTGGAGCAAGGAGACCAATCAAGGTCCATCTGAAATGGAGGAGCAGTTGGACAATTGCTGGGTACTGAAATCCTTCTTTGGGGAGCATCCGGTGGAAAAAAGGGAATTGGCTTTTACCACTCAGAATCTCTGAAGCAATTTTATCCCTGATCTGAAAAAGCAATGAAAAATGACGAAGTTTGATTTGATGAACATATTTGAAGGGTTTGTTGATTAGTTATTGTTTAAAATATTAAACAAAGAATATTAACAAGATTGCATATAAAAATGGAATTCAAGAAATAAATTAAATTAGAATAATAATAATAACATGCAAAACACATTTCTCCATCACCTCTACAATTTCGCACAAATAGCCTCAAATATGGAGATGTTAACTTAAGCATATTGTTTGACTAAAGGCAATATTATATTTACCATTTGAAAATTTGCTACATCTTTCTCTGCTTCTATATCTTGAGATTCTATGGGCAGCAATTTTTTAACCTTCAGACGGTGAGACCACAGCTCCTCATATAATTGTCAGTTGTATGATACAAGAGGTCTTTAATTGAAATTCTGTCTGTTTTAACAGACACGATTTTCAGTTTCCATAGATTTAATTTTACAATAATAATTATATGCCCTGATTTTAGAAAATTGTGTAAATTCCAAATTCATCTCTCATGGGAGCATCTGAAGTCCTTGGGTCTGACTCCCAAGATTCTTCTCAAATGTTGTCATTGAGTTTGTTTGAAGCCCCACACGTCAGCTCAGTATAAGAGCATGGGGGTAACCTGGGCCTTATAACCTCTTAATAATTGAGGTGTCAAGGTTCCAAACAATGAACCCAACCAATCCAGCACTCCGAGACTTTCAACTTTCTCAAATAACTGCTTTATTGAGTACAATAGCAATAGCAGTAGACTTATATACCACTTCATAGGCCTTTCAGGCCTCTCTAAGCGGTTTACAGAGAGTCAGCATATTGCCCCCAACAATCTGGGTCCTCATTTTACCCACCTCGGAAGGATGGAAGGCTGAGTCAACCCTGAGCCGGTGAGATTTGAACCGCTGACCTGCTGATCTAGCAGTAGCCTGCAGTGCTGCATTTAACCACTGCGCCACCTTGGCTCTTACATCATTTCGGTACGAATGAAAATGAACCCAGCTCTAACTATTTCCCGCAGTTCCAGTATAATTAAAGAATAGATAATTCCCTCCCTCGTGGTCACAGGTCACATTGTCCAATTATGCATCCTAGCATCTCCTTGGCAACTCTGGCTGGCACCTGTTGAGATGACCTTGGTGACCTTGGTTCTCTACTCACTATCAACCCTACTCAAGAGGATCTGAGCATTTATTTCAGCCACAGTATCTATTTGACCAAGGAGACAATAATAATGAGGATGCTTTTTATACCCTTTTTATATAGAAAATACTATTGCCATCTCCCCCCTCCCCGCCCCAACTATCTGCCAATAATGGGACTCATAACCTGGAATATTCATTGAATAGTTCAGCTAATAGAAAGTCCTCTCCAAGAGCTCTATTGTTCTTCAAGCTTGTTATGATGCATTTAATTATGAATTCATTAGGGTAAAAAGTTGTTGCCTCAAGCTTGTAGCTTTTTAAATAAAGTAGTTAATTACTGATAGTGATCACTATGAATCGTATGTATGTATTTATGTATTTATGTATGTATGTATGTATATGTTTTATCAACAATAGGAAAGGGTGAGAATCTCATGGGATTTGTTCAGCATTGAAAATAACATCATTATTTTTTCTAAGATTATGGACAAAACATGCATTTTTCATACATGCTGCATCTTCCTATTGTACAGAATTGATTTTTGATTGAACAGAGAACCTTTTCTCAGCTTCACCAGTGAGAAACAGAAGCCCTCAATGCAATGAGGATGATGTCATGAGAAGATATGTCTATTTGGAACCATGTTCCCATCCTAATGTTATCTCAATACCCAGTCATGATACTTACAATGGTCATAGTGAAAAACAGGTCTTGAATTCTACAGAGAAGATATGGCTGGATCTATCATGCACCCACTACCACCCAACTCAATTTACCAGATACAAAAACAAACACACATGCCTGTGGGACTTTGTAGGTGCCTACTAATGTTGACATCTGGATGGAGATCTCTCTGTCAGCTGCATCAAGAAGAGCCAAAAGGTTGTCATTCCTTCCACAGCTATAGTTAGGAACATTGGCTTTTCCAGTAGAGAGCATGTCCAACAAGGCATCTGAAGTGCCAAGTGTGTTCAAATAGTTATCATGGATGTTGTACCCAAGTGTGAGATTATTCAGGAACTGGATATTCTTGTTGACCACTTGAGCGGTGAAAATAAAGCATTCTTTTTCCCTGTTACCATAAGGTAATCTATTGTTTTAAAAAGTGTTCCAGTTAATATCAGCATAATCAATAGCAATCAATCAAATATCATTTTTTTAAAAAATCATTCCCTTTGTCAACACACATGTCAACACACAAATATTCATTCAAAACCAGAGGCAAAACACCTATCAACATTAAATATTTGTGAATATTGTGACATTGAAAAAGAGATAGTCCTCTACCAATGTTAAGTATCATAAGATTCATAAGAATCAGAAGTGATACAAAATGCCATTCTATTTCAAGTCATCCTCTATTCCTGTAGGAATCAGCCATTGAATTGAATATCAGTGACTGGTTATAAAAATATTGAAATGGTCAAGGGAAACTACAACAATTGCTCCTTTAAGTCACAAATTATTTAATTTGTTGCAGAGTGGAAAATAACATGGATTTCTTTCAGATATTTTATGTCCTGTTTTTGCATTTGTATCTCTTCCTTGAAGTGTTGTGAAATGCTATAGACAGCCTTCTTTATCAAATACTTACTGAAGCCCAAGTAAGCATTTGATAAAGAAGACCACAACCTACTACTTGATAAGTTAAAAAAATATGGGTTGGACAGCATCACCATCAGATGGATTCATAACTGGGTGACCAACCAACTCAGTATAATATCCTTAATGGAACATCATCTACAAGGAGGGAAGTTAGCAGTGGGATACCCCAAGGCTCTTTTTTATGCCTGGTGCACTTTAACAATGCCACAAATGATTTAAATGAGAGCATAGAGGACTCATCAAACTTTCAGATGACACTAAGCTGGCAGGAATAGCTAACACCCCAGAAGATAGGATCAAAATACAGAACTATCTTGGCAGACTTGAACATTAAGCCCTAACTAACAAAATGAGATTCAATTGTGAGAAAAGTAAGGTTCTATCTTTAGGAGGGGATCAAATGAACCAGTGGTAACTATTCAATAGTAGTAACTGTGAAAGGGATCTTGGACAATCACTTAAATATGATCCAGAAGTATGCTGCAGCTACCAAAAAAACCAACAAAGTCTTAGGCTGCATTAGAAGTGGTGTCTGCTCTATCACTGGAGGTTTCTAAGAAGAGATTGGACAACCATTTGTCTGAAACACTATACAGTAAAGCAGTGGTTCCCAACATGGAATAATTTGATTTTTAATGAGGGGAATTTGAACCTTGTTCAAACCAAGTTAATGGTCTTTTAGGCTTCCTCTGCATTAGTAGAGTTCACTTTTAGAATAAAGTAAAAATTTTATCGGGGGGGGGGGGATCAGGATTTTAGAGATGCTTAGGTGGGTCATGGCCAAAAAAAGCTTGGGAACCATTGGTATAAGGTCTTCTACTTGGGCATGGGTTGTAACAGAATACCTCCAGGGTCCCTTCCAATTCAGTTATTCTGTTATATTAGAAAAAAAGACAGAAGAGGGAGACCATTGAAATCAGATTAGACAATTCTTGCAAAATAGGCATAAGTGAAATAAAAAGAAAATAACAAGGAAGTTAGAAATGCAGATGGGGGAATACAACTCCAGCACACTGAAAGACTTACAAGTAAGACTGACTGTAAGGAGCCAAGCTGAAACTCAAAATTTCATGTCCCATAGTCAATGCACTGGTGACTATACCAATGAGATGATCTCCTGGCCTATAGTAGCTCCATGGTCTTTTTCCATCCAGGTGCTGCAAATTTAATGGGCACTTCATTCTAAACTTCCCAGAGACTGGCTGGGATACCAGCAACAGCAGCAGAAGCAGGGCCTCCATAATTCATGGGGCTGAATCAATCCCCCATTTCCAAAGTAGAGTTAGAAGAATTCAAAGTACTGTCACAAAATGGAATACCCAGTGGCTTTCCTCTTCCAAACAGAGACAAAACAATTTGCCTGTGTCCTCAATCTTGTGCAAACCATTCAGCATGAGCAGAGCCTTTTATCTTTTCTGATGCAAAATCCACCAATGTTACATCAAAGGCAGCTACTGGAAAAGTCTGGAATAGTGATAATTACTATGAGTAACAATTTGTCCTCTGGGGCTTGTGAACCTCTTCCAGGTCTCCATGTACAGAGAGAAAAAAAGTATGTTTGTGAAATCTCGCAGATACATCCCTGGGGACACTCTTCTACAGTAGTTGACATCCTTCCTGCCAGGACATGTCCAGAAAGTGATGCTGGAGGAAGATACTTCAATATCCAGGGAATTGACTTCTGAAATCCTCCATTACAGTACATTGTCTCCAGAAACTGCTGCGGAAGATCACTCAGAGCTATGAGGTTTTGTTCCAGTGTAGATTTTTGACATTAACTCTGGTGCTCCCTGTTTTCTTAACATCAAGGAATCACCCTTGAACCCTGCCTAATATTAAGTGGGTCCTCTTTAGAAAGTTCTTTTCTATGAGATCTCCATATATTAATCCTAAATTAGAACTGATTTTAAAATTCCTTCTACCTGAAGTTAAATTTTTATTTCCCCTCTGTTCTAGATATATAATGGATGAGAGCTGATGAAGAGGCAGGAAATTGACACTGCAGGCATATCAGCATATTATATCTGAAAACCCCAACCAGGGGCCAGGCATTTTTTAAATTCTTAGCAATCTAAGAGGATTTTTTTTTTAAAAAAATT